CGACCGAAAGGGGGCTTACCATGTAAAAGACGCCGACGTCCTTGGAGGCAAAGAACTCGAACAAGGATGGGGACATGTCGAGACCGTTCTGAAGATAAATGAGGAGCAAGATTAGTGCTTGAGTAGCAGAGATGTTTCTGGTGAGTTATCCTGACTTACGGGTGGACAACCGGGGCATTCATCGGTAATAGTGGCGACAGTGCTCTTGCCGCCGAAGAAGATTTTGATCTTCTTGTTGCACCATTTGTTGGCAGTGTACTGGGCTACGTTGAGGGCAACGATAAAGTCATCGGGTCCGTTGTGACCTCCACAGGCACCTAGACCAGGGTCGAAGAAGGTTGCCTTTCCGGCAAAAGAGCCTTCGGCACGTTTCTGGAGCGAGTGCGGATGGCCTCGTTTGGTAAGACGTTGCTGAGGGCTGGTTTGTGCTGATAGACCGAGTTGAAACTGGGTGATGAGGATGGTGATGTAGAACAGGATGGCGGAGAGTCGGAGAGCCATTGAGGGGAGGCGGATGTGGAGTGGGAGTAGTAAGGAAGGACTTTGCAGGGCCAGTCGGTCCGCTTGAACGAAAGGGTGGGTGGTAGTGGTCTGTGGTCAAAAAGGATGGTGGGTTGACTGTATCAGTCTCTGGCGCAACTCCGTCTTTGGCGGATTGTTTGAGGAAATTAGCAGTGGATGATGGTCGTTTAGGTTTGCAGGAATCCAAACTCAGTCAACTTCCAACCGAGGCGGAGTTAGGTGGGGCCGGTTTGCCCCGGTCCACCGGGGACTGTATCCTATCCCTTCCCCCGCAGCTCGCTCGTGCGAAAAGAGTAGATCCAGCTGTCAACATATGTACATAACCCACTTTCTCATTCACATCACTAATGCCTCCACCAAATCCACCACGGGTGCACGAGTGTCAAGCTCAGGCCAAGAAACTCGGTGAAAAAAAAAACAAAATCATTTTCAAAATTTCTATCACCAAAGAAATCGAAGAAATTCTACACAGGCACCCAAGTTCGACCGCAGCTTTCCAGCAACTCTGCCGGAATCACCATTTTGACCCCAGCAGTACGCAGGGTCAA